ATATACTAGTTCATTGTATTCATGGCACTGCGGCTCAACGCGCCCTAAACCTTTCTAAAACTAAGAAGGTTACACCCAGCGAATATAACGTAGCAACACTTTCTTGTCAGATAGGGCTCCATGTACATGCCAATGACTGCTAATGGGGAATGAGAGACAGGAGAATTCAGCTTTTGCTCCGTGTCTACTTCCCATCTTTAACCACCTCCAGTTTATGGTATATACTAGTTTCGGGATGTTAAACCCCACAAATCAATCAAAGTCAGATGTTTTGAAAAGTGCAAAAGCGCGAACTCGGCGAAGAAAACTCCAGAGACATTGCGAATAAAGTAATAGTTGCTGCGCATTTTCTAGATTGCTTGTTGTGTGTGTGTGTGTGTGTGTGTGTGTGTGTGTGTGTGTGTGTGTGTGCGCGCGCGCGTGCGCGCGCGCGCGCGTGTGTGTGTGTGTGTGTGTGTGTGTGTGTGTGTGTGTGTGTGTGTGTGTGTGTGTGTGTGTGTGTGTGTGTGTGTGTGTGTGTGTGTGTGTGTGTGTGTGTGTGTGTGTGTGTGTGGGTGTGTGACGTCAGGAGAACCCGAAGCGCACGACTTTCTTGATGTGTGCCTTAATTTTAACTTAATCTAACTCGTAACTGAACCAACTCGCGTAACTCAAACGTGCGCCAATACCCTTGACTTAATACTAACAGATCACCCCGACAGCCTTTCGTCCATTTCATATCTTCCAGAAATTAGCGATCACAATGTAATTCATGCTGAGTTTACGTTCAAACTGGTGTCTCGTCAGAAAAGTAAAAAAACTATACGTCTTTATGACAAAGGAAATTACACAGCTATCATTGATGAACTCCGCTCTTTCTTTCCATCTTTCGAATAATTTTTCCAAAATAGATCAGTGCAAGATAGCTGGAAATTATTTGCGGACAAAGTGGATTATCTTGTGAGCAAACATATACCCACATTCAATTTCCAGACCGACACTCAAAAGCCCTGGTTCACCAAAACATTAAAACGCCTGGAAAACAAAAAGAAACGCCTCTTTTGTTCAGCCAAACAGAAGGGAAGCCAATGCGCATGGGAAAAATACTATCAAGCCGAACATGACTACCTAGGAAAGATATGCGAAGCAAAACACTCTTTCTATAACTATAACTTGCCGACCATTCTAAAAAGTGATCCACGGAAGTTTTTTGAAGTAATCAACCCTCACCCCACGCAGTCTACTAACTTCACCGACGATGCCGGCAGACCTGTAAGTGACGTTGATTGGGCAAACATCTTTAATAGCGCATTTGAATCAGTGTTCACGAAAGAAACAGACCTTTCATTTTACATGTCGACTTCCGCTATCGAACTCTTGATGCCACCCATCACATTTTCCGTGTCTGGTATACTATCTATAATTAACAACCTAAAGCTGTCGTCCTCCGCGGGTGTAGACAATATTAACTCCAAGTTCCTTAAAAACACTGTAGATGTCTGTGCCGAGTATTTATGTTTACTGTTTTCGCAGTCACTTGCCACAGGCGAACTGCCCGACGATTGGAAAAAAGGGAAGGTCATTCCAGTCTTCAAAGCTGGTAACAAAAACTCGCCTCTAAATTATCGTCCCATCTCATTAACTTCAGTGCCTTGCAAAATCATGGAACACGTCATATTCACTCACATTATCAGTTTTTTTGACAAGGTTAATTTTTTTCATCCTGCACAACATGGCTTCCGAAAAGGGTTTTCATGCGAAACTCAACTAGCACTTTTTGTTCGTGACCTTCATTCCAATCTCGATAATAACCTCCAAACCGACGCCATATTTCTAGATTTCACCAAAGCATTTGATAAGGTACTTCATAAACGCCTGTTACTGAAACTTTCCCACTTAAACTTACACCCCGCAGTCTTAATCTGGATCCAAGAATTATTACATAACCGTTCCTAATCTGTCCTTGTAAATGATCAGCTCTCCAACTTTATTCCAGTTACATCAGGTGTCCCTCAGGGTTCCGTCCTTGGCCCCTTGTTATTTCTAATATATATTAACGACCTACCAACGAACTTAACTTGTAACATACGCATGTTTGGTGATGACTGCGTTTTGTACCGCACAATAACGAATGTATCTGATCAAATTAGCTTCCAAAGTGACATTAACCAAGTGCAGCGTTGGTGTGAACGGTCGCAAATGGAACTTAATCCTAACAAATGTAAACTTGTGTCGTTTCAGCGTCGCCATAACCCGCTCACCACTTCCTACGTAATCTTTAACACTCCTGTTCAACTTGTGCAATCCTACAAATACCTTGGCCTAACTTTGTGCAGTGACCTAACTTAGGCTGAGCACATCCGGACTATATTGCAGCTGCTAATCGTACTCTCGGCTTCCTAAAACGTCATCTGCGCAACACACCCCGCCATGTAAAATTATTAGCATATCGGTCCCTCGTAAGAAGCAAGCTTCAATATGCATCGTCAATTTGGAGCCCACAACACGCTATCTCATTACTGCACTCGAATCACTTAAAAACCGTGCTACTAGATTCATTCATTCCTCATATGCCTATCACATTAGCGTGTCATCTTTAAAAGAAGAAATTGGCCTGTCCCCTCTATCTTTCCACCGCCGCATTGCCACCCTTCGCTTGTTTTATAAACTTTTTCACAGTCCACTTGCAATCGAACCTTACATCCCCCCCCCCCCCCATTTCGCAGGTCATATCGCATTGGCCATGTCTTTCAAGTTGCCCGTCAACGTTCCCTCACCATTACTTTTGCTTCCTCATTTTTTCTTCGTGCAGCAAAAGACTGGAATGACCTCCCCCACCATATTGCAGCAATCACCTGTCCATCAACATTTATGCATAGCGTCACAAGCCATTTTTCAAGCTAATTCATGGCTTTTTTGTACGTTTTTTGTAACCCCACCCTTTATGTAATGTCCCCCTGGGGACCTTTAAGGTAATAAAATGTAATGAAATGAAGTGTGTGTGTGTGTGTGTGTGTGTGTGTGTGTGTGTGTGTGTGTGTGTGTGTGTGTGTGTGTGTGTGTGTGTGTGTGTGTGTGTGTGTGTGTGTGTGTGTGTGTGTGTGTTTATTTACATAAGGAATGAGTAAAATATACCTTTTTCTATTTTTTCACTCCTTCGCGCTATCAATTGTGCTCTTATAAACCAACCACACCTTCGATAAAACACAATCTTTCCTGACTTTGTCGTGGAAGAATAGATGTCTTACAGATAAATCGCCGAAGACTTCAAAACGTCACACATCACTTAAACTGGTGCATTTGCAGAGGCAAAATGCAGAATAAAGCTGTTAGGCATGTAAAACTCGCCCCGAATACTTTCACTTAGGAGGAGATAATGGTGGCAATGGATTTACAGCCAAGTTATTTGTAAACTGGTAGCGGAATGTCCGTAGAAGCCAATGTATCCTTTAGATGGCGGCTCGTTTTCACCGTCACCGTCTACATATGTAGAGGACAATTAACAGCAAACAAAAATAGAAAATAAAATATGGCAATCACAACCGAAAGCAGTAGCGACGTTGTTCTCACCCTTCATATCTCTTCATTTGTCCTACTTAGCGTGAAACTGAAATTTTTTCATTTGCTGACCTTTCACGTGCCGTTATAAATACGCGAGTTTATGGCACCCTATGGCTTGCTGAGTGCGCGAGAGAAAAGAAAGACCAACAAGAAAAGTTGAAGCAAGAGGGAGATATCAAAACATTTATTGCTAATAAAGAAGTCACTTAGTGGTTGAACCTCTTAGTCTGGAAGATTGTTGGCTCTTGCCAATGTCCGGGCTCGGCCGACACGGACCCGTTGCTGCACTGGATCCAGAGTGGACAGGGTCGCCTCCCACTTGACTACTGTAGGATTATGCTTGGTCGATATACTGCGATTGTGTTGGCACTCCCAGACCATATGCAGCAAAGATGTTTTATTAGCCAAATGGCTCACTTGCGATTTGCACCGAAATCTTTGCAGATGAAATTGACGCAACTGTTCACCGAGCACAATAGCGTATTAGTTCAAAAAGTCACGTTGCGCAATCGTTGAAAACCAACGCAGCCATGAGAATGTTGCTTTGGCAACCATAGCGTACAGCGTCTCGTAGCTTATTTTATCGCACTCGCTGTCACCAAAGGTGAGGGCACGTCAGCCGTGCACAAGCGAAGGCAGATGGAAGTCACAAGAGCGGCTAATTCACATTCCGTGAGCTGATTCAGCATTGAAATGTCACGCCAGGTATGAACACATAAGAAAATAAATAAACTACAGAAGGTACCCATGAAACACCAAACAAAAGTGAGTTATGCCTCGTTGACCCGGCACTGCCCCGAACTAAACAAGCTCCTGTAGCATCCTGTAGCCTAGCCTACCCTATTTTAATGCTGCTGGTCTATGCCGAAGAGCTCTGTATATGAAGGGTGCTTGCTCCATAATCAATTGGATGGATTTGAGGGTTTACGACCAGTGACTAATTATGAGAAATTCTGACTTTTTTCTGGTCGAGTATTGTCAAATATTCAGTCCTGATTGATGATTGATATGTAGGGCTTAACGTCCCAAAACCACCATATGATTATGAGAGACGCCGTAGTGGAGAGCTCCGGAAATTTCGACCACCTGGGGTTCTTTAACGTGCACCCAAATCTGGGCACACGGGCCTACAACATTTCCGCCTCTATCAGAAATGCAGCCGCCGCAGCCGGGATTTGAACCCGCGACCTGCGGGTCAGCAGCCGAGTACCTTAGCCACTAGACCACCGCGGCGGGGCGATTATTCAGTCCTGCCCAAGATGCTAGGGACAGTAGGGATAATCACAGGAAGCAATGGCCATCCACCCATGAGTAGCACGAGGCTGGAAAGAAATCCGTAACGTATTTTCAGTAGTCCAAGATCAGAACCTTGGACCAGCGTGCCCTTCCGGAGTCATAGGTGAACTATCCAAGCTAACGTGGAGGCTAGGAGACTCTAGCCCACGGTCGGTCGTTCCCTATCAGTGAGAATTATTGTTGACTTTGTCGTCCGTTGACTGTATCACCGTCTTCGGCTCGTCTTTGTCTCCTTTCTTGGTCTGATGATGCATCGCCTCGGCTTCTTCGAACGTCTCGGGCAGCTTCCGGTTGTTTGTCTCGGGCAGGGGAAGAGTGAGCAGTGTTGCCACGCATGAGAGGCCACCTAAAATGAAGAGGGGAACGAAACGACCATACACGGCCTGGGAGGAACCGTGAACGAGCCGGGAAAAAGGCTTTTGTAAGTTGCGTGCGCAATAAAATAGGCCTAGAACATGCAGGCCTAAGCTGAAGAGCACAATTACAGTCGAGTGAACACGCTTTCCTGTCACCTTAAGCGAACGCATAAGAAACCATGTAATCTTATTACTTGCATCCACTGGACTTTTTTTTTTTCTAACCTACAAAGGCGCCTACACCAATAAAAATTTTATGCGACTGTAATAAACACTACCACTCTAAAAGTTGACATCGTTCTGCTTATCGCCATAACTGAGTGTGATTTTTTTGTACTTATAAAAACACCCCTTTCTTTATTGGTACGATTACGGAAAAGACGCAATGTTGAGACTGGTTTTCCTACGAGAATGGTCCGGTGGTAGCACTGTGTGGCTCCAAACGCAGGGTGATAATCACAGATGCGGATTAGGATGGGAGAGGCAGTGTTCCCAATTGTAGCGACGAACAATGCCATTAGGCCATAAGTCTTTTGTTGCACTAAATTTGCGTATGGCGAGCTTTAAGCAAAACAAATAATGTACAGTTCGCTTAAAGATTCAGTGCCCATAATGTTGATAACGTTATGGGCAGAAATAAACAACATCGAAGAGGCAGGGAATAATTTAGCCTTAGTAAACTGTAGAGTTTGCTTTAAAAGCTTATCTCATGTCACACACACTGAAATCTAAATTTCCAAAATTCGTTAAGCATCTCCATCCTGGAACTCCACCACGTCGCATTGCGAGATTCACTGAAATGGATGAGATCCAGCTTATTTACTAAACCCAGCCTCATGCAAACTTTGATTACATAATGATGCATAAACAGTATGACCCCAAGTTAGAAAAAATTTGTCCGTGGGTGATTTTGGAGCCAGCTGCGCATGTGCAGTCACAAAGGGGGACTGAACCTTAGTGGGGGATTGGTGTCGTGTTTGAAAAAACACTAAATAAGTAAATAAGCATCATAAAAAGTAAAAAAAACACACTATCGATTCCGAAGTCTTTCGGCGGAAACCTGGGACCATTCGACTGACTATGCTTTCTTGTTTTGTTTTGTTTCTGCTTTCCTTTTTTTTCTTTTTTTCTTTTTGTTTTTATGCTTTCTCAGCAATATAGTGATTAATCAGGCGGTATAAGGGGGGAGACCACAGCTGGCGCGGCAGTTGCTATGCCGCCACAGCTACTATGCACTCTCTCCTATCACGTGATTGCTGAAAGCGCTTGAGTGGTACAGGCCAGGGCTAGCACCGTTCCGGGGCATGGACAGAGGGACGGATGAAGGATGGAAGCAATTGAAGGATTTCGCCTCACGAATGTTTTCGCAGTGTTATTTGAAGTCTGGGCTTATAATAACCAATGCGGCGAAATCTAGGACGGGTATGTTATGAATCCTTGCTGCACTATAACTTCGCCAATGACGACAATCCTTGTATGTTTATCGCAATCATGTGCATCTAGTATCATGCTGGTCAGTTAAGTGTGGATAACTCGGAAAAAGCGTTGGATATATTTATATTTATTTTTTTCGGTCACCTTTACGTCACATACTTTCGCATTTATAAGTGGCACCTAAGGTGCTTGCAGTAGCTACTGCCTAATTGCACTTTCTGTGCTGATTTTATCTCGTACACCTCAGAACCCTTCCATGTCATTTCAGTATTCCTTCGTATTTGTTGTTTTCATGCCGTCGCAAACAAATCATCTTACCAAGTAGCCAAACTTTTAATACAAATTTTCTACATGAGACATCTGCCCGCTCATTTCCGGTCACACGAAATACACGATTATGAGGTATAGAGTATGAGCTGGTCACTGCAACAAGGAGAAATATAGCCCATTGTTTGCTCTCTACAAACGGCATAGAAAGAGGTCTACCATGGTGATCTCACCAGTTGCACGACGTGCGATCCAAGAATCCTTCCTAGTGAGCCAAAGGCTTGCCGGATAGACAGCGCCTGCGTCCTTATTTCGGTAGGATCAATCTCGGCTCCGTACACCGATCCAACATCGTATGCTATGGTCAGGAGCGCCCGACCCACCATTAGTGTGCACAAGAGAGCCATTCGGTGTGCTGCAGTAAAAACAATATTGGCTACAACGATGCACACTTTTAAATGTCGTATTTGCTGCCATCACGTTCATATCGCTCAGAAGGGAAAGACTGTTAACTTATCCTCAAAAAATGCACCCTGAGTGATGTAGGCTAGGCGTTTTTCAATTTAGCTTGCGCATATATGCAAGACACACAAATGCACGCACAAATATACATAAAGTATAAATACCCCCTTCCCCCCTACACCGAAAAAAACTCTTCATGCGTTCTTACACACTGGTGAACTTCGTCTTGATAAAAGCATTGAATTTAATAAAAAAAAATTTGGTCCCGTAACTGCATGTTACACTGCAAATATTGTAAAAAGACGATAGTCTTGCGTCTGGAGAGAGTGAACAAAACGTTTATTTGATGTTCGAAGCAAGAAAATTGGCGAATGGTATTTGAAGGCGCTGTGTTACAGTGTCTTGAGCGTGCAGCGGAGGCGAACGAGCGCATCAAGTCACGTCCCACGTGAGGCATGAGCGCTATCAGGTAGTTATCTCGGAAAACGAAGCGCGCGCGCCTTGCGCGCCCGTCTCAGGGGTGATAAGGTGTAGAACGCAAGGCTACGGGTAGGTGCCACCACCGTGTCGCCGTCTCAGAGGTGATAAGGCGTAGAACTCAAGGCGATGGGTAGATGCCACCATCGTGTCGTCTCAGCAAAGCGGTGGAAACACTTGCCTTTTCGTGCAGGCATCACATGGTTAGCGCAAAATGATAAACGCTGCGGGCCTTATAATTACTTATGTATGCCTTTTATAGTAAGAGACACACATACAGAATATTGACGTGTTGTTATGATGCCTCAGATATTCGCAATAATTGCTTTTTAATTGACAATCACTGAATCTTGAGCAATATTGGTGGGCGCTGCGGATGGGGTCGGCCGTTCGGAGTATCGCTTGTCCACTTTCATGCCGTTTAAGTTAACGTTAAGGTCAGACAAACAGACAAATGTACAGACAGACAGACCAAACTTTTTGCGTCGAAGGTCCCCAAGTAAGACTATCGTAATAAAAACTTTATTTTAGTCTGAAGGACGCGCTTAGCGCGTAGCGGGCGTCTCGCACGTAGGGACCGACAGAGAGTTCCTGGCGGCCGCTTCGTAAGCCTCCTGGACGGCCCATTGCTGGTCAGTGAGAAGCGAGCTCCTGAGGGACCTATCCCACTTGTTTGAGGTCGGTAGGAGTATTTCTACACTCCAAGAGAATGCGTGCGAGTGTTGCCGTATGTCCACAAGAGGGGAAGGTTTTGCTGGGGAACGCATCAAGATAATAAACGTGAAGGTTTGCTAGGTTTGGGTACGTGTGGGTCTGTAATAGGTGGCGGGTTAGCGCCTGCGGTCTGTTAAGTTTCGGATGTGGGGGTGTAAAAATATGGTGTTCAGGATAAAAGTGCTTTGTGATGTCATTGTACGCAATGGGTGCATCCCGATTGCTCTCTAACTCAGCGAGATGGGGTACCTCTGTGGCGGCTTGGTCGGTAAGTGCGCGCACTGCATCATGGGCACCCGGCGGTCGGCCGAGACGGGCGGGGAACCAGATTACGTTGTGGTGCTTCAGGGCACTCGGGTACGCGCTGCGCATGATACGTAACGCCTGGTCAGAGATGACGCCATGTTCGAAGGCTTCGATGGCCGGTCTGGAGTCGGTGTAGATAATTTCCCGTTTGCTCTCGAGCATACCTATAGCTATAGCTACTCGCTGCTCTGCTTCGGGGTTTCGGATGAGGATTGTGGCAGAGTTTAAAATATGCTGCGTGGCTGGTACCACGGTGAAGGCTCGGTTGTGTTAGGCAGCGGCGTCCGTTAACTAGACGTTGTCTTCTTCCATGTCTATGCGCTTGAGAACGGCGGTCGCCCACGCAAGGCGCCTGTCTCTGTTGTATTCGGGGTGTACATTTCGCGGAATGGGAGCGATCGTGATAAGGTTGCGGATTTCACGGGGAATAAGAGTCAACTCTGGCCGTCGAGTAGAAGAATCCGAGCTCGCGCAGAATATGGCGGCCTGCCTCAGTGGTCGTGAATCAGGTCAATTGCACGCGTTCCTGAGCCTTGGCGATCTCTTCTATAGCGTCTCATTATAAAAGCTAAATCAAGTATTCTGACCGCGCTTCTTGATGGAAAAATCACGGTATTATAACCTCAGGGGAAATTACCATGAATTGAAGCCCCCTTCCACCACCTCGATATAAGAGGATCGATGAGAGCTGACTTGTGTAAGGGTTTCAGCCTTGTACTAAATCCAACTTTGCACAAGAGACAACACTATTAGCAACGAATGGTGAACTTCATCTACAAAGTTTTGTAAAGACCTCATTCAATGCGGTGACATGCAAATAACCCTAAAATTTTAGACTATAAAAGTGATACTCACCAAAATCGCTGTCCTTAAAACGGCCCTGCAACACTCTTTCAAGTATCCATGGAGATAATTAAATAAAGGAGTTCATTTCCCTCACGAATTCACCACCGCACATGTTTTTAGAATCCGTCCAGTACGAGCGGAGTTACTAAGATTTCTCACCTCCTTCTCTTGTCGCGATGAAAGCGCTGGAAGCTATAAAAGGAAGGGAGGGTATAGAGAAATAAAATACGTTGTGTGAGCCACATGACCTTGAGCACTTTTTTTCTTCTTCTCACTCTTTTTTTTTCCCTATGAATGCACAGTTTTTAGTACGATCGCGTGGACACACAAGGAAAAGTTGCGACCTTTCGCGGAGGCATCAATTACGACCAAGTTCGCCATGCACAAAGCAACCAATGGTTAACAGAAGGACTTTTAGGACTTTTGATCTTGTTCCATCATTTATTGAGAGAAGAGAAAGCAATGTTTAGTAAACTTTGAGAATTTATTGAGAATTCCATGGGGCGCTATAATGTTTCGCTTGCGTGTTGTCGGGAGCCTCAACTGCCGATCAGCAGCGTTTTTTGACCATGCTCATGAAGTTTTGCCGGGCCACTTTAAAGCCTGCTTCCTGGAAGGCTACATCGCAGCGCCAAGCAGCATGCAATGAGTGCAATAAATGGAAGGTGAAAGCCTAGCTGCTGAACACTTGCATATGCATCAAGTTACAAAGAATGCGACTAGCCTTCTTTCAAAATACAGCAACCTGGGGTGTGACAGACACACATTAAATAAACTTGACGGTCGGTGTCACTTGTCTCATTCTTTTCCACATAAAGCTTTCTCCACCTGACGTGGTGTGGCACTACCTCCGAAACCAGCTAAATTATGACGCAAGTGACGATGCTGTGTGATGACGTCAGCGTACGATGTTCATGTGACGATGCCCCGATGGGGCGTCGTGGTGATGTCATGGTGCGAGAAAAAATTCCAGTGGCCTAAGACGAAGTAACAAATAAGTTACTTCATCTTACAAAAATAAGATGAAGTAACAAAATAATGTCATCAGTGGCGTAGGCCACATGGCTTTTGTACCACTTCTTTCGCGTACTGTGTTTCCTTGAAAAGGCGCTCAACAAGACCCTAAATGAATATCGTGCCATGATGTCTATGGTTTCACACGCCACTGCTTCAGTATGATACGCCTTAGAAATGGGCGTGCAGGTGAAGTTTAACCACCTAAGGCTCATGAACTTACATCTGAGAACAAAGTTTTTTTTATGCATTTCGTCTTAATTAAAATGGGCTCACCCTGCGAGGCAGTGAAGCCCATCACCTGGATGTTCACAGCATCAGTGCTTACATTTATTAAAAGCAATATACTTTATTAGTGCGCAGGGAAGGAAATATACTACCAGCAAATTACATTTCTTTCTAATATGCAATATCAACCAGCCCAAGTAGTCACTATTTACAGGTCTTACCTGCTAAGCTACAGTGATCTGTCCGTCACAATGAACGAAGGATACGACTCTTGAATAGAACGCTCAAGCACAGATGCGTGATAGATTTTAAGCCCGTGGCGCTCGCCGCCTTCATCGTGCAAGCTCGTCTCCATATGGGAATTAAAGCTTCTGTATTGCTGTGAAGCAAAAGCTCGTAAGAAGTGAGACATGATTACATTCTTTTCGCAGTCATTTATCAGTGCATTTAAGCAGACAAAGTATAGAAATGAATATTATACAAGGGTGCGCAATGCTATTTAACCCTCGCCATCGTACGTCGGCCTTTAGCGCACCTCGAAAACCGCTGTTACAATTTTATATCTTACCATAAACTTGACCTGAGGCCAAATAGCACAAACAGGCGAGGGCGTAGGAGCACAATGCCGTCGTCTTGCGTCCGAACTTGTCGGCCATTGGAACAGCGAGCCAAATGCCTAGAATGTCCACGGCGTTGGTTGCCGAAGACATTACAAACGGGTCGTCGGTGGCTGTGGCTGCGTACAGCTGGCCCACTTGATTCCCAAGACACGCGATGAGCCTGCGTACAAGCACTTGTCTTAGCCGGCGTCAAGGCAGCATTTTCTTGCAAACAGCAGCTGCAAGGTTTTAAAATCGACGACCTACTTCATGCTTTCATGCAGCTGTCTTATACTACAAGACATATCGAAAGTAGTATATATTATCAGCGTCAAATGATACCCGAACAGCGGCAAGCATTCGCGATGGTATAGTGTGGGCTGTCCAGCTATCACCGCGGACAGGCGCGCATATATGCGCAGAGCTGCCGAACAGTATGCGCCCCTGTCAACGTTGACAACTGGACGGCGCGCACGTCTCTGTCGACAAGGCTTGCAGCTGTTCGGGTTTCGTTTGACGCTGATAGTACGTACATACATGCAGTAAAGAAAGGAGTCCTAGGGCGTTATACTCTCACCTTTTTAGCGGCACAGTCTCCGTCGAGAAGCGAAGGCATTGATTGATATATGAGGTTTAACGTCCCAAAACCTCTATATGATTATGAGAGACACCGTAGTGGAGGGATCCGGAAATTTCTGCCAACTGGCGTTCTTTAACTCGCACCCAAATCTGAGCACACGGGCCTACAACATTTCCGCCTCCATCGGAAATGCAGCCGCCGAAACTGGGATTCGAACCCGCGCCCTGCGAGTCAGCAGCCGAGTACCTTAGGAGAAGCGAAGGCAAGCTAGCGATTGGAATGCGCTAGTGTGCGCGTAGAAATGTGTGAGCACGCGCCCTCGTGCGTGTCTGTGCGCATGTGTGCGCGCACGCGTAAGTGTTCGTGTGCGTGCGGAGAAACACACCAGCGTGAGCGCATGCACGTGCACCACCACAGACAAATGTGTGCGTGCAAACACAGAAATGCACATGCTCGTGCGTGCGCACATATACACTTGCGCGCTAGCCCAAATATTTTGAATCTGAAGAATTTCGGGCTTCTCTGTCAAAGCTTAAACAATTCAACAGCTTCAGAGCTGTTTCCTCAAACAAGCGCGCAGCAACTGATTGGCGCCACCAGTGGACGCGTCCACACCAGAATTCATATACAAGCCCTACGCGCACCGCTCCGTGACGATGGTGGCTTGCCTCCGCGTGGCGCTCCAACACAAACGGCAAGCAGAGAGGGTGAAAAATTGGCCACGTATCTGCATGTTAATCTGCCAATGTCGTCGACAGACGATCGTGTTGCGTGTGGAGAGAATGAACAAGGTATTTATTTGATGTTCTGCGCAAGAAAATTGGTGAACGGAACTCTGGAGGCACTGCGTTAGAGTGCTTTGAGCGTGCAGCTGAGGTGAAAGAGTGCATCAAAGCACGTCACACGTGAGACATGAGCGCCATTTGGCAGTTTTCTTAGAAAGTGGCTCTGAGTGGCTCTGAGATGGGTGTGCGCGCCAATCTCAGAGGTGATAAGGTGTAGAACGCAAGGCAACGGGTAGGTGCCACCACCGTCTCGTCTTAGCAAAGCGTTAGAAACACTCGCCTTTTCGTGCAAGCGTCGCATGGTCAGAGCAGTGTGATAAGCACTATGGTCCTTAAAATTACTTATGTATGTCTTGTCTAGTAAAAGATGCACATGCAGAATATATACGTGTTGTTATGGTGCCTCAGACATGCGCAATCATTGCTTTTTAATTGACAATTGCACAAGCATGAACGCTCAACCTTCAGCAACATTGGTGGGCGCTGTGGAGGGGCTCAACCATTTCAAGTACCCGATGCCATTAAGAGTGGACAAACAGACAACTGTACAGAAGGACAGACAGAAAGGAAGACAGATAGATAGACCAAAATTTTTGCGTCTAAGGTCCCCAAGAAAGGCGGAAAGAAAGCGGCGCTTTGGTGGTGCATGGAGAGTGGTGAGATAAGAGAATCACCAAACACTCCCGAGGATACATATTGATCTGCTTTCAGCGTAACCCAAATACATCTGAGTATAACAATGTGAACGAGGGAACACCTTCCCCGATAGCACAGTTTGTGGTGAACCGCATGCCTAATACAGAGGTTTGGAGTTCGTCTTCCAGAGACGGCAATGTTTGTGGTGTGAGCATCGAGTGACACTCTCCTTTCTCATTTGCCTTTCTTTGCCTATTTCCTTCCAATATGTCATACCAACAGGCCCACGCAACCACACTAGCTTCTGTCTTCGTCACCATTTCCACTCACCTACCAACTTCTCATCTAGATGCTACCAAGGAAAGATCCGACAAGAAAGGCGGCCAATTTTCACTAAGTTGTTCAAAGCTTGGTACAGCAAAGCATGGACTTTTCCCGGCCACTACTCCCCATCGACAGAAACGTCTAGCTTAGAGATGGGTGGCTTCCGCCTCGGTAGTAAGCAGTCACAGTGAAGGTTGAGCGCAATGTCCCCAGTGATGAGTGTGGCTAAGCCTTTTTTTAAGCGTACGCAGCTTCGCAAGTATAGCACGTTTTCTGGTCAGTATTCAACCCCATGCTTGAATCGCTTTTCTATGTTTTTTCTCTTTCCCTGCATAGCCTTTCCATTTCGTTAACGTTCTCTGTTCCTTTTATTGTGTTTCTGCGTTTTTATCTCACACTTTCCCTTTGTCTCATTCTTTATGTACCGTATTTCGCTCTCATCATCGTTTACACATCTCTTCCTCACGATCAATTCTTTTCCCTCCCCCTTGCTGCACTATACTACACGGCAAGGCTGTGCTACGGCCTCCTAGCGAGCCTGGATAGAGGAGTAGCCATGACGGCCTCCTTCGAATCGCGTGTACGCTAGTTCGGATCCCACCTCGTGAACCTATTTTCAACTAAAATTTTTCTCTTTTTCTTTATATCATTCTATCCGTCTCTCAGCATGTTTTTCGATTTCTTTTCTTTCCTTTTTTGCTTCTTTTCTTCTTTCACTCACTTTGTCTGCGGTTGTTTAAAGATTACTATAGGCCATGCCACAGCGGTGACTAGCGAGATTTGCCCAGACTTTGAGGAGCATACTGGTTCATGATAATGATGCAACTAAAGAATCGCTGATTAGTGTGCAATGCCCTGTCCATTTCCTCCCCGATGCTTCCTCTCCTCTCGTTTCAGTTTATTGAAGTGATTACAAATGACACACTGTTTTTCCTCTTGAAAGCAATGATCGGCGAATGTGTTTGGCCTTGGTACGTGAAGGACTAATATTTAATCATACTATCGATCTAATTACGGATCTTAACAGGTAGTACTTGTTCGTAGTCTCTAATGCAAGGGAAACGAATTAGCACTGGTTAGACATTACACGCTATCATGGCAATTAGCCAAGTTACAGCACTGTTTGATATAACAGAGTAGGATGTTGAATCAATGCTACCAAATAATAACAAAACAGAAGTTATTGAAAATGAATGCAAGCAGTTAAAAAAATGGTGGGTTGTAATCTCAGCATTCTAGATTGTAGGAACCCTAAAATTTGTGAAAAAACGAAATAAGTTTTTCAAGGTATACAGCAAGAAAAACAAAGTCAGAGGAGTATGAAGACACTGGACTTTGCCTTCCTACTTCTCTGTCTTTCTTTTTCGCGCTGTTTACCTTGAAAAACTGAATTGTTGCCAGCTTGCCCAATTTTCACTACTACTCAGCGAAATAAGTTTAGAAATCGGCAACACGCGAATGAGTTATAAATAAAATTGAGCATATGCGCAGTATTGGTGCGACTACTCGGGAAGAAGCGTAGCCGGTAGCTTGCCTGTCCACCTTTTCCTCCTTTTCCTCATGATTTCTTTTTTCCACCTTATTGCTATACTGTACTGCACATATCCATGCAATACACTGCACTCTCCTCCTTACACTCGCATCACTCTTCCTCACGCACGCTCCTCTTCAACATTATTTGCTATACAATGCTAAATAAGGCTATGCTGTGGTTCACTTTATCTCCTCTTCCTTTCACTATAATATGTTTCTTTTGCATCTCATTTTCTTTCTTGCCATTTCATTTTTTCTCTCTTTATCTCTCTCGTTCTCTCTCTCTGCTTTTTTCTCTTTCTTTCTCTATCACTATGTCTATCTCCCTCTCTTTCTGTTCTTTTTGTTCTCGTTATCTCGCCCCTTGGCAACGCTGCCTTATTGCTCTCACGTCTCTTACAGCGTGCCTGTATAACTCGACCTCGGCACGTGGTACTCAAAGGTGAATCTCGGTTCATCAATTATTTTTGTTTTATTGATTCATTTTCCTCCTCCTCCTTTCTAGTTCTATTTTGCTGCCTCCAACGCTTTGCTAGGCGTAGATGCTCTATGTGTTTGCAAGAGAACGCGCAGTGACGTCAAAGCTGGACGAGTTTCCGCCAATGGTTTGTAGCCAAACCTCGAGCTTAAACTTCGTAGCTCGTAAAAAAAAAACGCTAAAGAAGTTTCGCACTAGGCCAGTCAAGCTTGAAGGAAACATGAAGCTGAGCAGCCTTCTGTTTCTGTTCGCTTTATTTTTCTTTGATCCTCTGTACCTTTCTTTTTTCTTTTTTTTTCCTGTTGCTTTCTCTTCTTTATTTACGTATATTTGGTTGCTTTTATCTCTTTACCTTATTCTTTATTTCTCTTTTTGTTCTTCTTATTTTTTCTTTCATTTCCTGTCTTTCTATTCCTTCTTCTATGCATCTTGTTTCTTGTATCGATGCGTGGTTTTTCAAGCTTTACGACAATCGAAGGTAGCGTACGACGACCCGAGCGCCTGACGGTTTCATCACTTAGTATGATCATCAGGGCGCTTCAACGACTCTAAGAAAGAGACGTCTCTTCGGACCGAGCGCGTGCTCAGTCCATTACAGCTGGATATGCTATATATGCGGTTCCGTGTGCATCACGCTAATCTATGGCGACAGCATGAGACAGCCAAGGACGCTCAGGTGTTCTGCTTTTTAAACAATGATACATTGTACGTGCACGTGCAGGAAGCTAGGCCTCATAGCGCAATTCACGTGTTATAGACACTTTTTTTCTGTGATGTTATGTTTGAATTTATTTAGGCACCTTCCTGCCACCACTATACATAAACGTCACAAACACTCACCTAACAAGAACCATTATTACGAAGCTCCTTCGAAGACAAGGGTACTTGAATATGAGAAGTGCAGAGGACGTGGCCGAATCGCTCTTCTCTGGAGGCTGTGGAGCGAGAAAAACGTTGATTTAGTTTTTTATCATGCTAGATGTGGTCTGCAGTGTATAAAACTAGCTTAGCAAAAATATTACCAAGAGTGTAGCAGCAATGCAAGCGCAAATCAGCAATGAAAATAAAGTATAATTTTGTTTTAAAACTTTGACGCGAAAGTGTATTAAGAAAATTAATGGTGATGATAAAGTAATAAAGAATATGTGGTAAAGTTTTTACTGGCGGGGCGGAACGCGCATCTTGCACACTTCGGCTTCTATACGATAGGAATGACACAGATACATTCGGCGATTTCGTGTTTTATTTTTCGCAGTCGTCTTGGCCGTTATATTTCGTTTAAAGTCCCAACAGGTAACATTGGTTCCCGCATTGTACTTCTACGATTTAGCAAACTCACATAAAAAAAATTAAGCCAGCTCTGCTGGCCAGACACTGGTGAAACAGCGATGCTGGTGGTTGAATGAAGTTTGGTGGAGGGGGGTGATTGAGGTGAGATGAAGTGGGAATGATGCGTCATCAAGTGTATGGATGAAATTATAGAAAAGACAGGATTTTTAATGGTCATACTGGTTAGTAGTGAGTGGTGGGAGGAGTGGCCGGCGCAAAGTGAGCATGTTGCCACGCGTGTTATTTTGATATGCCCGGTTTAAACACAAAAAATTTGACCAATACTCGGCGAAAATCGCGTCTCAGTGTTAGAAAACCTTCTCGTTTGTATAGTACCTTGTTTTTTTTTTTTGGATTGTGCATCGCACGGGAACACTAGAAATTAATCCAGGACTTGCACGACCACCAGTGAAAAGGCTGCATATTTCGTCGCGGGATGCACAAAAGTCGTCGCGTCTCAGAGATGTTGAGTTGATCGACCGCAACCCTCAGTTTGTCGACATCAGTGCCAGTGTGTATTGCTGTAATCTAAGTTTTTGTTTACCGGCTACAAGGTCGGCCAAATCAACAGCTTCAACTTCAACATACTGACCATACTGCTTTCGTGAACAAAACGACCACGTGACAATATTGGTGCGTTGTGGGCGTATAGTGAGTATTGAGAGTTGTAGATATGCATAGTGGGATATACCCCTTTCTTTGGGTAAATTTCACTACAGTCTACAATGGTCTCCTGACATGAAAGCCTGGACTACGAACAGCTTCGCTGTTAAAAAATAAAAATAACATTAAAAAGTGCGCATCCACCCGTGACAAACGCGGCTAAAACAAATATGAAGCAAGCTGGTCATCCCCGTCGGAGCAATGGCGCGTGCGATACCAATGCCCTCCGTGCGATTCTTGCCTTCATTGCCTCCTTCTGCTGAGAGGAAACGTCCCGGCGGCCTTTCGTAGGGCAAAGGACCATGAAGGCACGCCTGCGGCGCAGTCTGTAGAGGGATATGCGCCACGTACTTAAGCAGCAAATGTGTCTTTGATCATGCGGGTAAGGTCACGGGCGTCAAGGACTTAGTACAGACTCTATTGACAAAAATGTCGCCATAGGGCCCATTCTATACAATCTCCAGTCCCAATAGCGCCGCCATAGTCGCCATTAAGCTAACTTACGAACGTTATCGCTTCTGGAGACTCTTGCTAGACTCTGCTGTAGCAAGCTGTTTTCATCGGAGCTAATGAAAGTTGGTTCGCGCAAAAGAGAGTTGTAATCGTGTCTCAGCGGAACGTGCCGACCTCGACGCTATGCGATTTACAAGAAGCGCAATCGGCTGCGATGTAGATGTCCATTCGATGTGCTTATGCCTTCTAGCATATATGCGTGTGAACGCTGCTAGCTTTCTCAATCACGAATCCTGCACTCAGAAAATTATGTCCCTAGCCTTGAATGTGTTCTTGATATGTTCAGTGTAAATGTCGGACTCTGTTCACACTCCTCTCAAACGTAAAAAACGCCCTTGTTTGACTCATATTTTTAATAGTAGTAGCGTTGCATAGCGCTAATCTAATTTTGCGATAACATGACGAAAACGGTTCTGCTTCAGTGGTGCGCATTTCAGGATTTTGGTGTTGGCAGCATTGAGACTCTCTCTGTTCGCGTGGGCCGTTTAGCAACAACGACAGACGACGCACTTCCACTGATTGCGTCACCTTAAGCCCGAGAAAAAAAAAAGAAGACAGAGTGGTACGCGTCAAGACGGGAATAAAGTTCATGGGATGCTTGTAAACCGAATGCTGCAATCAATACTAGCAAATTGAAGCACTCCTTGTTGAAGTGGTAGCTGGTCTATTCTCGCCCCGAATTTGGAGTCATGCTTGTAACGAAACATTCCGAGTGCCATTACGTGTGAGCGTGAGCACCTTAACTAAAAAAAGCGGGAGTGCAAACAAGGTCGGTGATGTAGGCTGAGTGAAGTGGGATGAAGTGGGAATGATGAGGCGTGAAGTGGATGGACGAAGTGTCAGAAGTGGTGGCAGTGGTATCAAAAGCACTAGTCAACTGGTAGGGACGGCACGCAACCTTTGAACGTAGCACTTCCATTGACCTCAAAATCACCTTCGATATATATGTATACTAGCATCACGCGTCCTTTTAATTACTTAAACGGCCCAAAGAGCTTCCAACGCTTCAACAGCAGCGCTGTCTAAGCTAGCCGTAACTTGAGTGGTCCATTAGTGAAATACTATTATCATTAACGGGTACATGCCCCAGATATTGGGTGAATTCCACTACTAAGCACTGTACCGCTATAAATGAACAAGGCATTGGTTAGCCTAACAAATGGCTCCCAAGCGATGACGTTGAGCCGAAGAGCCAGAGTGCGCACCACGAAGGAACGGGAAAGGCAACGGCGTCGCCGACGCCAATGAGGACGTGCCCGTACATCTATGAGAGGTGCCCGTAGGTATATACAAACGTTTGATTTAAGTGCAAGTTTCTGTCCCTAGCGTCTGAACATCCGTGTCGTGTCTGTGACTGGCGCTGTTTAACTAGAACTTCCCTGCGCTGAATATTAACAAAAAATAACGTTGCGTTACTTAGCTAAAGCCTAGCAATGGCCCTGAAGTGGCCTACAGAAACGACCTGCGTCACCTTGCGAAAGCCTAGAATTGATTTAAGAAGCAGTCAGACTAGACCTGATAATCACTCATTTTCGCTGTTTGGCAAGCTTTGTGCGGCTTAGTACAAGCTTTGCAAGCCATTTTTTTTCGTCACCAAATCGTGTAGCCAGTAGTGTCTGATTTCACTCGTTGCCAAGCAACGGGCTCTGAGACCGGCTATACTAATAATATTGCCACATTACTTCCTGGAGTTTTGTTATCACCCCGGTAGGCTGTAAGCGTTGTCTAGCGCAAACCGTGCCAAATGACCAAGAACCATCAAGATAACCTTAAAAACTTCCAATGTGATTACGCACACAATGTGAACATTAGAGTTTCTTCTAGAACTTACGCGGCCACTCTATAACGCTGGAATATTCGACGGCACGTCTATAAATGTCAGTTAACCGCTCATTAATGGTATTGTCGGCTGACCATCTGTTCACCGCTATCATTGTCCGTGTGTATCACTGTAATATGCATCCCCGTTTAATGGCTACAACTTAGAACAAAAGGAACAGTTTCACCTTCAAGACGTCGACTGCTCCCTTGGCCTCCCTCATGACCACTTGACATGTAGGTAGCTGTATCCCTCCTTATTTTGACAGTCACACTTTCTTGATAAATAACCTCATCGTTTCTATACGCAGGAAATGGCTGATGTATAATCATAGCTACAATTTGTGAAAACATCCGAACAGGACACCTGCTTTATCAAACAGTACGGCGTTGCAATGACATATTAGAAACTCTGTATTACAACAGAAAGAGATTAGAGATGATAAAAGGAGGTTTGCAGAGCTCACATGAAGTCAGTAGAAGACATCGGCTCCGCCAAGCGAATAATAGACGAAGGTGCGTTGTAGCGCTTCAGCCTAATAGTGCTTCAACATTCAACTTCTAGATACCGCACATGAGTTACTTGCGTTATGCAACAGCGAACATTCTCTCAATCTTACATCCACCGACTGGTTTAAGAGTAGCGTGATTGTTAAATGGGGGAATAATTTATGGCGCTAAATTAAACAGAAAGGGCGACTCATACATCGTAACGTAACTTCGGCTTTGAAGCGTAACTTTGGCTTCGAAATTTGGCCGAGTTCACGTGCGGGCATGTTCATCACGCGAATTAGGATTTTCTTTAGTACGCACACCCACCTGAAGGGAGTCAAGCGCTTTTCTCTCGACGTCTTTTCCATTTATTTTACCTATGGTGCGCATGATTTTCTTCGCTTTGTCGGTCTTGCCTTTGGAAAGGAGCCACCGTATTGACTCTGGGACGAACCTTTAAAACAAGAATAACATGATAAAGGATATAGTGTAGAGACCACTGCATGTTGTGGTGCAACCTAAACGTAGACCAACCAGAGAAGAGAAACGTTTGATTGACGGGGTGCAACCGTAGTGACGACAACTTCCTTCTAAAAGTTATACAAGAAGCACAGAAGGCATATTGAAATCTAATCTTGTTTCTTTTAAAAAGGTTTAAGGAATTCTATAGAGGGGGGAAAACGGGGACCATTTTGTATGTCAGCGAGAAGCGCCACAATGGCTGCCCCTAAGCTTTGCACTGCGCAGAAAAAGAAAAGGTTGATATTGGGGTTTTGTTGCATAGAGATAAATGATTGATATGTGGCGTTTAACGTCCCAAAACCACCATATGATTATGAGAGACGCCGTAGTGGAGGGCTCCGGAAATTATGACCACCTGGGGTTCTTTAACGTGCACCCAAATCTGAGCACACGGGCCTACAACATTTCCACCTCCATCGGAAATGCAGCCGCCGCAGCCGGGATTCGATCCCACGACCTGCGGGTCAGAGTTGCATAGAGTTTTGTGCATACGCACGGGCACGAAACACCACATGCAATCGTAAAGCAATTCATTGGCGCAAGTCTGTGCCGCCGTGGTGGGCCAGTGGCTACGTTAGTCGGCTGCTCACCCACGGGTCGCGGGGTCGAATCCCGGCTGTGGCGGCTGAAATTTCGGTGGAGGCGCAACTGCTGTAGGTCCGTGTGCCCGGATTTGGGTGCATGTTAAAGAGCCCCAGGTCGTCGAAATTTCCGGGGGCCCTCCACCACGGCGTCTCTCGTAATCATATGGCAATTTTGGTACGTTAAATCCTACACATCAATCAACTTATGGGGCAAAAGAAATGACTAGCCAATTCCCAGCAAATGATAAGGTTGTGGGGCGCCTTCGTTCAAATCTCGCCACTTTCCCATTACGGATAGTTTCGGTCCGACGTAACGCAGAGGTGCGATTACTTTTATTGTCACTCTGAAAATTTATTGGTAAATATTCCGAATTAGGCGCAGGTCTGGTGATTTCTGAACAGTCTGTATACCATGAGTTCTCACGCTCTACAACTTCCCAATATAAACAAGGGCCCTGAAGTCACTGAAAGAGCTAATTCACGAACTCTGTATTTTGCCGGCACAGTGTGCTTTCTTATGGGGCAAAGTACCTTCACCTCAACTTAGATTTTGTGTGCAAGCAAAAGTGACGTGAGCTTTGCTTTCATGGCATCTTTGTTTAAAAATGTGTATTTTCTAGAAAAAACGCCCTGCAGCGTTTTAATGAGATATAATGCACTCATAGTTTCGCAAGATCAATTTTACAGAGCATACTACGTCTAAATTGTATTGCATGTGACTCTCTCCTACTGTTACCACGTGCGCAATGAAAGGCACAGTGTCACTACTCACATAGAAACAATGGTCCCCAATATGGCAGGCACTACGATGACAGCGTTCAGAAGACGCCAGTGGCCAATTGCGTATGCCACCCATGGCAAGGCGGCACCCAGAAGAGGGTAGACCAATCCAAATACACCCCCCATAAGCATGCGTTTCTTCGGAGGCATGTATTCAAGAGCTAGGGAAGAAAGAGAAACCAGCATGAAATTCGAAATGTAAAATTTGCATGAACTATCCTGTATTATCGATGCATGCGATCCCCACGGCATCGATAACAGATTTGTGTTATCGCCGCACAGCGAAGTGATATGATGAGAATGACAATCCCTATTGAGTTGACCACACACACACACACATATATATATATATATATATATATATATATATATATATATATATATATATATATATATATATATATGAGATCTAACAGACAGTAATGCCAAGGAATGTACAGGGGAAGTTATTAGAACCGATGGAATGTAAATAAGAACAAAGAAAAGTGGATGAAAAAATAACCAGCCGTGAGCAGGAATCGAACCTACGACCTTCGAATAACGCGTTCGATGCTCTAACCACTGAGCTACCACAGCAGCCTTCCCTCCATCCACCTTTTGGGTTTATATGTGAATTTAGATGTAGGAGTGAAAGTCAGCGCCATCTATAAGCCAAGCGACGAGTGTGAACCACTCTTTTATGCGCATGTTTGGCGTCACGTAGCACGTGAACTTATTACGAGAGGGCAGCTGATTAATAGTCCCTCGTATACAACCTAATGGCACCAAGTCTGCCAGTACGAGACCCTCGTTCAATGAAATAAGGGAAAGAAGTGTATACCTAAGGGCTCGTTTTTCCGTGTTTTGACACAATATTAATGAGATCTAACAGACAGTAATGCCAAGGTATATACAAGGGAAGTTATTAGAATCAGTGGAATGTAAATAAGAACAAAGAAAAGTGGATGAAAAAATAACCAGCCGTGAGCAGGAATCGAGCCTACGACCTTCGAATAACGCGTTCGATGCTCTAACCACTGAGCTACCACAGCAGCCTTCCCTCCATCCACCTTTTTGGGTTTATATGTGAATTTAGATGTAGGAGTGAAAGTCAGCGCCATCTATAAGCCAAGCGACGAGTGTGAACCACTCTTTTATGCGCATGTTTGGCGTCACGTAGCACGTGAACTTATTACGAGAGGGCAGCTGATTAATAGTCCCTCGTATACAACCTAATGGCACCAAGTCTGCCAGTACGAGACCCTCGTTCAATGAAATAAGGGAAAGAAGTGTATACCTAAGGGCTCGTTTTTCCGTGTTTTGACACAATATTAATGAGATCTAACAGACAGTAATGCCAAGGTATATACAAGGGAAGTTATTAGAATCAGTGGAATGTAAATAAGAACAAAGAAAAGTGGATGAAAAAATAACCAGCCGTGAGCAGGAATCGAGCCTACGGCCTTCGAGTAACGCGTTCGATGCTATAACCACTGAGCTACCACAGCGGCCTTTCCTCCATCCACTTTTTTGGGTTTATATGTGAATTTAGAAGTAAAAGTGACAGTCAGCGCCATCTATAAGCCAAGCCACGAGTGTGAACCACTCTTTTATGCGCATGTTTGGCGTCACGTAGCACGTGAACTTATTACGATGGGGCAGCTCATTAATAGTCCCTCGTATACAATTTAATGACACCAAGTCTGCTAGTACGAGACCCTCGCTAAATCAGATGAGGGAAAGAAGTGTATACCTAAAGGCTCGTTTTTCTGTGTTTTACTTCTTTACTTCTTTCCCTTATTTGATTTAACGAGGGTCTCGTACTGGCAGACTTGGTGTCATTAGGTTGTATACGAGGGACTATTAATGAGCTGCCCTATCGTAATAAGTTCACATGCTACGTGACGCCAAACATGCGCATAAAACAGTGTTTTCACACTCGTCGCTTGGCTTATAGATGGCGCTGACTGTCACTCCTACTTCTAAATTCACATATAAACCCAAAAAGTGGATAGAGGGAAGGCCGCTGTGGTAGCTCAGTGGTTAGAGCATCGAACGCGTTATTCGAAGGTCGTAGATTCGATTTCTGCTCACGGCTGGTTATTTTTTCATCCACTTTTCTTGGTTCTTATTTACATTCCTTGGCATTACTGTCTGTTAGATCTCATTAATATTGTGTAAAAACACGGAAAAACGAGCCCTTAGGTATACACTTCTTTCCTTTATATATATATATATATATATATATATATATATATATAATATATATATATATATATATATATATATATATATATATATATATATATATATATATATATATATATGTATATATATATATATATATATATATATATTTATATATATATACACGGTGGCCCCCATCGCTGCGATAAATTTAGGTGCCATCTTTATGTAATTGCGAAAATGTGCCACATCAATTTCCTCGGCCTCCATAAAACGGAGTGTATTATCAAGTAGAGACTGTCGCATTCACCGGCGGTTCTACTGCAAGTGCTTCCAGAATGGCTGCAAGCTTGAAAGATTCGAAGGACTCGGAATCGTATAAGGGCCCTGTCCAGCCTTTGTTACATCATATCGAGATTACGTCAATCGTATGAATTATGTATTAACGCATTGCGTGGTACCGGCTGCACAGCATCGGCACCACGGGAAGCATGCGGCACATTCGCTTTTAGCGGTGCTCACCTAGCACGAATGGGTTCGTATATATGGCAAGTAGAACGCCGCCGACAAGCACTCGCGTTCCCAGGAACACGTAGAAGTTTTCGGTGAAGAAGGTGACCACTGCTCCCACGCCAGACAGCATGTACACCACCACGGTGACGGGAACGCGGCCGAATCTGCCAGAGAAGCACTTGGGTCAGAATAAAGTACACATGCGATGTGTCACAGGAAAAGGAAGACACGAAACGTGGCACTCAGCGTTGTGTGTTTATTTATTTCAAATATCTCAAAAGTTCCTGCTCAGGGCTTTTATTTTGGGGGATGGCTCACCGTTTAACGCAGCACGTTGCTCTGTTGCCCGACAGCTTTGGTTTGTATCAATAGACAAATTTCCTCCGCAATGACTACCCTGGACCGCATTAGCAACGGTCCAGCTAGGCAGGCCACCTACTTGTTCAAAGTATGAAGACGATGCGCATGACTGAGGCAGTCTGTTTTAATTACCCTGCACCTTTGCAGCCAACTTCACAGCGAAAGGCTATTACACACGTAATGTGTTATTTAGTCGGTCAATCACCCCGAAGGATGGTAAAAGGAAAGCAGGCGCCAGAAAGGTTAACCGGGAAATATACCTGTTGGCAAGCCTACATTGGTGTAATGGGTAAGGAGGATAGAAAGATCAGAGAAAGAAGACAAGGAAAGGAAATGCAGTGAATTCACTAAAGCGTGTGGCACAACAACAAAAGTCTTAGGCGTTCGCATAAGTCAGACACCTGAAACAAAGCATAGCCTCCAGCAATATTGAGCAGCATCGCGTGCTTTAGAAGCATATCATCTTTTAAACACTGAATGCCTTAGGAAGTTCCGGGGGCCAGTTCGTTTCCAGAGTGTAGTGAAAAGAATGTTTTCCCTCATTTGAAAGCAACATTTGGGATTGGAGCACGCGACCGACCACTGACAACCTCTACAGACGGAATCACACTTGTCTCGACGGGCAGAGCTCGTGGCAGTGGATGCTAATGTCCGCCACAGCTGCCTCACTTTCTAACCTCACGCTACATCATGGCACAAGACCTAGCGTGAAATATGGCTAAGTTAGGTATCATTACGGCTTCGGTTCTGCATGCCTTTTTTTCAGAAAGAAAGCAGCTGAAGCGGCCCGATGACGCAATTCATGATGCCATCTCCAAGCTGCCTACAATTTAGCAGATTAACGTATACAATAATTGCCTTAGGAGCTATTAAGGAGCACAAGAAAAAACACAAGGTGATGGAGATCTGCGAGGCGATTCATAAGCTGAACCATAATACAGCTACTTGCGTAAATGTAAATTGGATTCAAGGCAATGCTGCCAACCCACACAACATTGCGGCTGACCAGCAGACGCACTGCCCATCATACATGGACCTTCCAGTTATTCCCCTTCCACCTCAGCCCCTAAACTTACTCCACATCCGTAAAAATGTTCTCCGGCAGGATGCAGGTGCGCTCACCATGTGTCTGCTCTCTCTCCCCTCAACCTACTAGGGCGGAGTAAGTAGTGCTTATGGGGCTTCAGGCAGGGGTGGCCCTTACACCGGCCCTTATATTGTTACGAAGTAAACGAAAATGAAGGACAGAATCAGCTGACAGGCGCGCGAGTGTGCCAATCAGCCATTGTGATTCTCGCCTGAGGTTGTTCCTCTGTATTTGCGTTTATACAGAAGTCACTGACCCCGTAAGAATATTATCATGGAACTGGTTGCATTTACGAGTTGGTGATTGGTGTACGTATCGCCCCTCTCCAGTGATGCAAGCAAATGCACACCACCTTGTATGGACATAAAAAGGGTTGCAGCCAGAACGCTCCCGCCCCATCCTTCAAGCCGGCCTTCGCTACAGCGGCACAGCCAGTTACAACCGCTGGATACATGACACCACATTCCACAAGACATTACTTCACTTCATACACAACACTGGCCTAACGGCGCCCATTGAACAAACATACTCGCAAAAAATATTATGCCTGAAAGGCAGGTCTTTGTCGTAATTTAAAAAAAAAGATTCCGTCCGTACACGACCAATCATTATATTACAGGGCACGCGCATCTCATCGAATACTAAATGCTGCAGTTCTTCACGGAAAGGGGAGATACAAAGCATTCTGAGTGCGACCTAATCATGCAACAATACCCGCAAGAAACCGATAGCACACACACACACATACTTGTAAAAACGAAGAGCAATTCAAATTAGGCCTGCTGCTGACAGCGGCTTCGCGCAGTAGTCATGTGTTAAACGAGTATGCCGCGCTGAGCTCATTACAAGGATTAAAAGCCGACTGTTGAGATTAGTGAGCCCCGTGCAAGCGATTGAGTGAGCACACACACACAGATATATATATATATATATATATATATATATATATATATATATATATATATATATATAAGGGAAAGAAGTGTATACCTAAGGGCTCGTTTTCCGTGTTTTTAACACAATAATAATGAGATATAACAGACAGTAATGCCAAGGAATGTACAGGGGAAGTTATTAACATTAATGGAATGTAAATAAGAAGAAAGAAAAGTGGATGAAAATATTACCAACTGTAAGCAGGAATCGAACCTACGACCTTCGAATAACGCGTTCGATGCTCTAACCACTGAGCTATTACAGCGGCACTCCCTCCATCCACTTTTCTTTCTTCTTATTTACATTCCATTAATGTTAATAACTTCCCCTGTACATTCCTTGGCATTACTGTCTGTTATATCTCATTATATATATATATATATATATATATATATATATATATATATATATATATATATATATATATATATATATCGTCGCTGAATAACCGTATTGTAGGCGAAAGTGACGAATGGGAGAACAACGTCCCAGTTTTTGTGGTCTGGTTGAATATAGGCGGCGATCATGTCAGCAAGAGTGCGGTGGAATCGCTCAGTGAGGCCGTTAGTCTGGGGATGATAACTAGAGGCAGTCTTGTGAGTTGTGCCGGAGGCCTGAAGAAGTTCGTTCACTAGTTGTGAAAGGAAGGCCCTTCCACGGTCACTGAGCAACACACGTGGAGCACCATGACGCAGTATAATGGCTCGAAGGATGAAATCGGCAATCTCAGAAGCTGAACCTGTAGTAACGGATGCCGTCTCGGCGTAGCGCGTCAAATGGTCAATGGCTGTTACTATCCACCGGTTTCCAGCAGCACTGACTGGGAGGGGGCCATAAAGATCGACGCCTACAACTTCGAATGGTGTGGCTGGGCACGGAAGAGGCTGTAGTTTACCGGCGGGAGCAGATGTTGGTAGTTTTCTACATTGGCAGGTAGTGCAGGACCCGACGTACCGAGCTACGCTAGTGGTAATGCCTGGCCAATAAAACCGACTTCGAAGGCGATCGTAGGTTTTATGGTAACCAAGGTGACCAGCAGTCGGATGGTCATGAAGTGCCCTGAGGACTTCGGACCGAAGCGATCGGGGTAGAACGGGAACCCAGCGCTGACCGTCAGGATGGTAAATTTTGCGGTACAGCACCGAGTTGTCCAGCTTAAATTGCGAGAGCTGGCGACGGAGCCTTGCATTAGGTGGACGGGAACTGCCAGTGAGGTAGTCTATAATACGTCGACAGTATGGGTCAGCCAACTGTCGAGAAGGAAAATCGTGCGGGTCGTCCGAAGGCAGCTGGTCCATAGAGGCGAGAGAGGAAACCGCCGTAGACGTGGACTCCGAGGGCGTGTTGTGCAAATTGACGGCTGAAACCCCGAGTGGAGTCGCTGGTTGTGGGCAGCGAGAAAGAGCATCGGCGTCACTATGCTTCCTGCCACACTTCTACACGATCTCAAAATCATATTCTTGGAGGCGTAGAATCCAGCGTCCGAGGCGTCCCGACAAGTTCTTGAGTGTCGAAAGCCAACATAAAGCATGGTGGTTGGTCACAATGGTGAAATGGCGGCCATGCAGGTATGGACGAAATTTCTGTACTGACCAAACGATGGCGAGGCACTCCTGCTCGGTGATCGTGTAGTTCCTCTCGGCTGCGGAGAGGACGCGGCTGGCGTATGCAACGACTCGCTCTCGCGAAGAGTTGTCGCGTTGCAGGAGCACGGCTCCTAAACCGCGGCCGCTAGCGTCTGTGTGCAGGAAGGTCGGTGCATCATCGTGAAAATGAGCAAGTACAGGGTCGGTCGTGAGGGCACTCTTCAACCTGTCGAAAGCTGATTCACATTCCTGAGACCACTGAAAGGGCATACCGGAAGCAAGTAGCTTATGAAGTGGTGCGGCTATGGAGGCAAAGTTTTGTATGAATCGCCGAAAGTAAGAGGCGAGACCAAGGAAACTTCGCAAATCTTTTGGTTTGTCAGGGCGAGGGAAGCGAAGCACTGCAGCAGTTTTATCAGGGTCTGGGCGAATTCCGTCCTTGCTCACAATATGACCGAGTACCTTGATAGATCTGCTGGCGAAATGGCACTTTTTGGTGTTAATTTGAAGACCAGCGTCCGCAAGACAAGTCAGGACCTCGTCCAAGCGTTGCAGATGTTGAGAAAACGTCGATGAAAAGACAACAATGTCATCGAGGTAACATAGGCAAGTCTTCCATTTCAGGCCACGCAGCACGGTGTCAATCATGCGCTCAAAAGTTGCGGGCGCATTGCATAGACCGAACGGCATAACATTGAATTCGTATAGGCCGTCCGGCGTTGCAAACGCAGTTTTTTCTTTATCATCTTCGTGCATGGGGATTTGCCAATAGCCTGAACGCAAGTCGAGGCTCGAAAAGTATTCAGCACCCTGTAAGGAATCTAGGGCGTCGTCGATGCGTGGCATGGGGTATACGTCCTTTCTAGTGATCTTATTGAGTGCTCGGTAATCGACGCAAAATCGTACGGAACCGTCTTTTTTACGCACCAAAACCACTGGAGACGACCAAGGACTGGTTGAGGGTCGGATTATCTGCCGTTGCAGCATATCGTCTACGTTTTCCTCAATGATTTTTCGTTCGGCTAGGGAAACGCGGTACGGACGACGATGCACAATGGATGTTCCGTCGGTCTGAATACGATGTGCTGTAGCAGTTGTCTGACCCAGGCTGGATGAATGAACGTCAAAAGAGTTTGCATGCTTTTGCAACAAATCAAGCAGCTGCTGCTTCTGCAAGTCTGTCAAGTCCTTGTTGATGGCTGCTGTAAAGGCCGAGGAAGCAGCATGATCTCCAGGATGGCCTTTAGAGGAGGCAGGGGTAAGAGGCACGACGCACACAGGCTCCAGATCGGCAACGCAGGCGACAGTAGTGCCCCGCGGCAGTAAAATTTTATCTGGTGTGGTGTTCGTAGCAGCAAGGACAGCTGATCCAGCGTTGAAGCGAGCCACACCTGATGCCAGAGCTATGCCTTTATTAAGGCAATACGGTGACGAAGTGACCAAAATGTCACCAGAGTCGACGTCGTTGGACAAAACTGTCACTAATTGATGTTCGTTTGGTGGTAACTCGATGTCTACTGCAGCGATGAGTCGAAGTGGCCTGTAGGTTTCGTCGTTGAGCAAGTGGTCCGTGTCAGTAAGATGGACTACACGTTGTGCACAGCAAATAGCCGCAGAAGCAGAGGAAAGAAAGTCCCAGCCTAAAATGAGTTCATGGGAGCACGGGGATAGCACAGCAAATTCTATATGATGAAGAATTTCGTCAATTAGTACACGGGCAGTACAGAGAGCGGAAGGGCGAATCATTGTTCCCTGGGCTGTAACCAGTGTCGGTCCATCATAAGGCGTCGTGACTTTTTGAAGACGGGCACACAAATCAGCACGAATAACAGAAAACGCAGCCCCAGTGTCCACCAAAGCATCAACGTCCACTCCCTCAACTGTGACCGCAATCATATTGTAGGGGCGCGCTGGAGGAATTGGAGTCTTGTGTTGGAATGCAGTTTGTCCTCCAAAAACTGCATCGCTTAGTTTTCCGGACGCCGATCAGAAGTAAGGGAAGCGGGCTGAAGAGGAGAAGAAGAGTGACGGCAAGGCGACGGTGAACGGCGTCGGGTTGATCGGTGACTACTGCGCAGTTCACCCGATGCTGGCGGAGATGGAGACCGACGCGGCGGTGACGAATAACGGCGACCCTGGTACAAGGCTCCTGCGGTATAGTCCCGTTCGCGTATGTCATACCCTCGGCGCTCGTCTTGCTGGCGCTTGCGGCAAAAGCGTGCAATGTGACCACGATAGCCGCAATAATAGCACGTAGGCCGAGTCGATCGATGAGAAGGGTAGTAGCTTGCGCTAACTGCACCAGGAGAGAGAGAAGTCAGAGGGACAGGTGACGGCTCACGCGGTGGTGATGAGAAGCTCGTGGGAAAGCTTGTGGGAGGTGCGGCAGCAACCGACGCGTACGTTCGTGGCGGGGACGTCGAGCTGACGGTGCCTGGTGGTGCGGCGGCGGTGTGCGGGAACGATGGTAGAGTACGAGAGACAATGGGCTGCAGGTTGGCCATGTGGGTCATGGACGTGAGCTCTTCCCTGATGACATCCCGCAATGACGTTGAAGAAGGCTGAATGGTAGATACTGATGGTAGTGTGAATCCCATTGATTCTAATTCTTCGCGTATTATCACCCTTATCGTTTCTCGTAGGTTTGGATCAGTCGTAATACGGGCCGCGTCACTGTCCGGTTGTAGGCGCATCGACTCAAGTTCTTCGAGGCGCTGACAGGTTGTCGCAACGTCAGCAACGGTAGCCGGATTCTGGATTGCAAGGGCATTGAATGCGACGGGTCCAATGCCCTTAAGAAGCTGGCGTACCTTGTCTGACTCTGTCATTGGGGTGTCAACCCGGCGGCAAAGTGAAAGGACATCCTCGATGTAGGATGTATACGACTCCCCGATGTGCTGTTTCCGAGTCGCAAGAGCTTTCCTTGCGAGAGCTGAACGGACAGCCGGTGTGCCAAAGACATGGCGAAGCTGATCTTTGAAGGCTGACCAGTCGGGGATGTCCATGAAGTGGTTGAGGAACCACGTCTTCGCGACACCCGTGAGGTAGAATGACACGTAAGCGAGTTTGTAGGTGTTATCCCACCGGTTAGCAGCGCCGACCCGTTCGAAATCGTCCAGCCATTCCTCCACATCTTCCCCGCGCATACCAGCGAAGGGATGGGGCTCACGCTGGAGGCTGTTAATGACGTGAAAAGGCGCGGCACGCGGTGGCGGAGTGGGAACGGCTGCAGCACCGACCTCTTCTTGGTGCGACATATTTCCGGACACCTGGCCCAAGCGGCGACCTGAACGTAGCTCCAGGGGGTAGAGTGGTCGAGAGGATGGCGGGGGATCCAACAGCACGCTCCACCACGTATGGAGTCTTGGTTTGGAAGACCTTTATTAGGCCCCGAAGAACCGGCAGCCAACAGCTGAGATGATCGGACCAAGATGATGATGCTACGCGACAACGATGGGGATGCATGAGCCACACATGATAATGATGATAATGTACCGGTGAAGAGGATGCGTATACTAAATGCCCACAATATATATATATATATATATATATATATATATATATATATATATATATATATATATATATATATATATATATATATATATATATATATATATATATATATATATATATACGCACACACACACACTATCACCATCCCAATCGCTAGCCTGCCTTCGGTTCTAAGTGGGGACCTAAGCTGTGCCGCAAGGAAAACCAAAGTGCAAACGCTTTCGAGCTCCTATCTTAATGAGTGTCTACCTCAAACTTTCGCTCATGGCCAGCGCTGTCTTTTTGCTTACAACAGAAGAGGACGATGCCGACACCACTGGCACTAGAACTTCGGCTTAACAGCCTCTTCAACGCTAAAGCGTTGACAGTAGCGCCAATTGCTATGACGGTATGCGGCAGCCTATTTATGTTGCCAGTACTGCGGGTGTTGAAAACTATAAAAGAGTGCACAGCACGTCACCTTTCACCGTGTCATTTTGAAGACTTATCATTTGCCATTTCTGCAGGCAAAATGAAACCAACATAACAAAAGGCATCGTAATGAGAATTTTTAAGCTTCTATGACTAAAGTGGCTTCTGGACATTAGCAAGACTGCGAGGCAACTAAATACTCTCGATTAAAGCTGCCGTGTGTGTTTGCCGAATCACAGCCACAAAGCAGTGAACGTGCCTTAAAAAGACCCTAAAACTGTTGTTTGAGGTTTTGTCACAGTTTAGGCTAGAGCATCCATCAAACCATTGCACACCACAAATTTAGTGACACGCCGTGTACGAAAGCCGCTACCGACAAATATATTATACCCTCCTCCTCACCTCCGTGTGGCCTCCTCAACTCATGAGGCACGCTGGTATCATCGGCGTTCGCAGAGCACTCATGACTGCGTTCGACTATTTGAGCGTTTACCAATGTAAGTATCCGAGGTCGCTCGCCGACAGGTTACGCGAAGTCTCGGAGGCCATCACGCAATGCGCCCGGCAGCACGCACGCCGTCTGGCAAGAGTGACGAAGATCTGCTCCGACAGGTGCCACCACCCTACCAGCCGATCTTACTTCTTCGCATTCTACAGTCCATGACAGCCAATCAGATCAGCAGCCACGATGACGTCAAGTGCCCAGATTATCTCCTTCTGTTATTGGGCGGTTTGGCCGAGTCGCAGCGGTCTGACCCAATCTTCAGCGATTCGCTGACTTAAAGCGTTTTAATAAATTACACAATTTGCGCAGCGAGCTCAAATCAGTCTATACTGGCCCAATGTGTCGGTATAAAATCGTCAAAACCGTTTCCGATGCCCCTTTAATGCCGCAAATAGATGCGTAATCGAGGATTATCTCGAACTTTTCTCCTTCGACCCAGCATCGCACCTCTGTAACCATAATTTCAGGTTAGCATACTCAGCCAGTTTGCATTTAGAGCGAACTCTCTCCAACAGTCCGTCATTACAACTTGAGCCAACAGGCACTAGACATGTGTGATTATGTTGCAAGCTGCTCGCATTTTCCTCAGTTGATACTCACATGTATTACGTCTGTCTGCAACACTGCTGGTATAATCATATAATACTAAGATTGACTTTGAACTACCGAAACAATGCTTGTGACATATCATATAAACGATGATGTGATGATATACTTAGGCCGAAAATAAGTGCGCAGAACGCATAAGGAAGTGTTGGTGGTAAGGCACCACTCAATGACCCTGTCTCCTGCCTCTCCATTTTCATTCATACATGCATTCATAGAAACACAGTTCAGTAAGCTCAAAGCGAATATGCTGTACACTTACATGTCACTTAATGCGCCAAACAAAACTACTCCGAAAGACATGGCGCCGAAGAAGACGGTATGGGAGATGTACGCTTTCCAATTTTCACCACACACCCAGTCCAGCTGGAAAAGTGAGAAAAAGCTTGAATTTTTAATATCGAATGAATAGAATGAACACAAATTCATCGTGTGTTAGGCATGTGGCCGTGGCTTCATAACGCATACGTTCAACAGCGAGCTCTATCACACGAAAACAAAGTAGTCACTAAAAGAACATCACGATGGAACCCCTCACACTACTGGCGACGACGTCATAAAATCTTGGATGCCAACTCTTCTTTTCATTATTGTACCTGATATCTTATTGATAACAATACGCGCGGACTCGCATGCTATCTGCAACATTGCCTTTCCAAAACTAGCACATGTTTTTGTTTTTGTTTTTAAATCATTGCTCACTACTTCCGAAAATTCCACAAGTTTATCACAACTACGCTCAGGGACAACTTATTACGGCAATGAAGGGAGGGCTATGGAACTAAAGTGGGCCTGTGCCACCGCTGTATAACAGAGCCCCACAAATGCGTCTATGTTTTTCGCACTGAAAAACAACATCACTTTATTTTTACGTGATGCCATTTATAAAGAGACGCTGAAAAAATCAAGGAAATAGTAATATTTGTTTTTTTATGAAATATAATTTTGCGTTCAGCACGTCTGAAAACGTCACACGTTTTAGGTGCACCACGTAATCGAAATGACGTCTTCGCCTTTCGGTTGGCTAACCTCCCTGTCATTCCTCATTTAATCCTCTTCCTCCTCCTCGCCTTTCGGTGAGCGCGGCGCGTCGCCCTTCAGCTATTCCGATGACTAGTTGAAGGACCTTGTGTCAAATTTCACTCACATATGGCTGTGGAAGCATACGTAGCAAGTTGTATGTCATGGTAATATTAATTGAACACGGCCGTCATTCGGAAAGCGAGTCCAGTCGGACTACTTCGCGGAGGAGCACATGTGCAGTAGCTTGGCCGCTGTAGTTCCCCTTCATTGCCACAGAAAGTTGTCGCCTCGTTTAATTAACAAACTATGTAAGTTTTAAGCTGCGTAAGCTCCGGCAACAAATGTAGCGCTTCAACGCAAACTGTTTATGACAATGAAGGAATTGTGATGCGTCTGTTTTCACCTCCCCTGTGTGTCTGTCTTCCGAGTTCATTGCACAGCTATGAAGTAGCAACTATAGCTTGCAGTAATGCTCCTTGCTTCAGTAAATGCGAATACTAACTTGCATCGGGGGGACAGACGCGCCTAGAAAGAAATACCCTTTGTTTAAAGCCGATTCTAATAGAATTTCGAAATGATCAGCTGGCATCAGTTACAGCAGCAAAACTTATTTCGCTTATGCGTGCTCAAGGTATTTAGTCCGCCGTTTCTCAAAAACCTTCTTATGAGCAAGCGAACCTGCTGTATAGTCAAGTTCAGCAGAAAAGCAATTACCTCAAATTGGTATTAGGGTGGTGGTACATCATAATTTCCTGGTAAATGTTTCTAACTAAACCTTTCCAGCTTTCATTTCGGTTGCGAATATTCTACTTATTATAAAACTACATAGCCCTTATTATTGCATCCAAATATTAACCCTTTCACACCCATACCAATTGTTTTCCGTGGAATAAACTGGTTTTATTCATTTTAAGATGCACATGATCATCGCATGAAAAATGTATTCTTTATCACACGTTCACAATAAATATTGCGTGAATATGATCAAATTACTTAATGAAAAGTTATTGTATAATGATATTCTTTTATTGTACTTACGACACTTATTATTTACGAATTTATGTAGATGAAGTATTGAAATGTCCAATAGCCTGAATTAAAATTTTTCACACAGAACGAAAATGAAGGCCTTAATCTCTACCGTGAGAAAAAGAAGCTGCCCCAGAGGAATGCGGTACACCATGAGCGCTTATGTAATGTCTTCGTTCACAAGTGACCCAAGTCTGCGGGACTGTCGGGTGGCGCGGGGCAAACTCGGCGTATGAACTTGACTGTGATTCAATTCATAATCTTCATTTGCTTCTTTGACTGGACCTCGCTGTATCGTGCGTACCAGGTTGCAAACAGATACAGAGCTGATGCCGAATATGAGTGCTTGAGGAAGAACAACACTTTTATTTTTTACTAGGTGGTTGCTGACTGACGCATAAAACTAATAACTTCTATTGAAATCGATGCCACTAAAAAAGTTAGCAGCATGCAATCAGTGTAACATTTTTAGCAAGGAATTTAAAAATTGTTAGGCCTCCTCTTTTTAATGAAATGCACTCGTGTGCGCTGTAAACGCATGAGCAAAATTAGTTCACTACCGTAGTCTTGCGTTTGTACTGGTGCAAATCGCTACAGGTCAAGTAAATGCTGTTACTTTGTTTAAATCAAGATCGCTAGCGTGCCTGGGATACGATGGTAGGGTATACGAGTGAGTAATCGTAATGCCACCCGGACCGGCAGGGCACCACAGGCAGGTCAATCCGGGAAGGAAAGCTCTCGTTGAAGTACCGTCCCGGTGTCCAGGAGCCCAGTGCCGTCATGTTCACTTCGTACATGGTACAGCTGCTCCATTTGCCGTCCGAGTCGCGAGGCACACCCAACTCGCGCGCCTGCTTGGGTGTCAAGTTGAAGGTCTCCTCGAGTTCTGGCTGCCGGCACCAGTGTGGTGGCTCGAGTAGCGTGAATACGTGCACCGCCATTGTTATGGAGTGCATCGGGACCATGAAAAACCCCAGGTAGGTGATGAGGAGCCATTGAAACAGGCCGAATTCCCCGACGAGTTTCAACGCCTCCTCAAACTCCATGGTCACTGGCACCTGCACAAAAAATAGCGCTTGTAGTGAGAGTTAGTGTTAATAGCAGAACTTTGGTGTTGTTCACTGGCACGCGTACCAAAACACGGCTTAGCGCCAGTGCGAAAGGAGCAAGAAAATCACTGCAAGGGAGAAGAGGTATAATATTTGAAGAAGTATATTGTTGCAGTGAAAGCACGATACTCTTGCGCTGCTGCGTTGAATGGATCCAAAGGTCAATCATTCAAGCTGGGTAGATTAAAAAGTGGTTACAATACAATTGTTGTACCTTATCTTCGAAAGCACTGAAAAAATAATGGTTTGTAGAATCGATGCCAAAACTGATAACGAATGGGTCTCTCTCATAAGCTTTTGCCAGAAACCACGCACTATATGTAAATGCGTTCATATTGGCGCGAGATGATCACGGTAACTCATGTCTCACATACTGGTTCTTTATGCAAAACAACCCGGTTATCTTACTGTTTTGGAAGCCACCAGATAAGAAAGGGGGAAGCGGTTATTTCTGTCTTCACCATCTAGTCTTGTCGCTATATCGGCACACATTTCTGAATTTATATATTGAGGCATGGCTTAAAGGGGCCCTCTAACACTTTTCAACCACCAATTTTCACTCGTGGACTGCATATACTGACGCATCGACAAATTAGTGCAGCAAGAACTGCTGCAATAGCGGAACGCAGTATGAAGTTATTGAATTTTAAAAAATTCAAAATAAAGGAAAAAAAGGCCTACACTCAACTCGAATTTGGCGGGGTGACATGACCACATTTCACTCTCTGCTGTGACGTTGCAGGGGGCCTCCAATGACATGGACTGAAAGCTCTTACGTAGACGAAGCTCGTACACCATTTTCGTTTGTTCAGTCAAATGTGTTTATGACGCTGTTGCTATAGCAACACGCAACGTGGTGCATGACCACGCTGTTTTGTTTACGCGGTTGAACAGCTGGATGAGGCTGGTGGAAACGAGCGTCCCCGACTTGTCAGAACTCGAGAAGGTCCTTTTGCTTCGGAGCGTCACCCCCGGAAGCTTTTCAGGCCTGCGCGTCACGTGACGTGACGTCGACGACGTCATATTGCGCCGGCCGGCCGGCCGCCCTTCGCTGGGTGGCTGCGCCAGCCGCGAGCGCTTGCCGCGAGCGCCCTTCACGCCTACCGACTCGGGCGAGGTTCCTTGACACCATGTCCGCACGATTTATCAAGGTATCCATTGATTGTATGGTTTAACGCGCCGACGCAACGCAGGCGATGAAGCGCGCCGTAGGGGAGGGCTCAGGATCAAGTTTTACTACCTGGGAATCTTTATTGTGTGCCGAAATCTCGTACACACGGGCGTTTTTGCTTTTCACCTCCATCAGAAATGCGGCCGCCGCAGCCGGGTGTCGAAACTGCGCCCTAGTGCTCAGCAGCGCTACGCCTTAGCCACTGAGCCACCGTTGCGGGGGAACTTATCAAGGTATCAAGAAATAATGAATATCGTGAATGGAATAATGCGTATTTATTTATCACAGCCAGACGCCGTCTGTACAAATATCACAGTGCACATTGTTCTCGGTCCAGGCAGACGACAGGCAACACAAGATGTTGCCCTTAATGCTGAAAATATGCCAAAAGTACAAAACACAATATCTTGCCACATAAAACTCAGAAAACAAAACAGATTGTAACAGCAAAACATCCCCGAGCTTTGGAACAGAAAAAGCACACTTTCATTTAAATTGTAGGTTAGAGGAAAACATACCATTCGTTTATCATAGTAGCAGTAGCAACACAAGGTATCAGGTTCAAACACTTGCCAAAAATACAATGCATAAGAACACTGGTGACTAAATTGTGGTCCACAGCATGATAAATGACAGAAAGAAAAGTAATTGTACTGCCACAGGTAGGTGCATGTTCTAGGGAAAAAATCAAACAAAAATCTAAGAAAAAACAAATCACAGTGCACAACATGTCTGTACACAGAGTGCACAAGGAAAGTGTACACAGCTTAGGTACCAAAACGGACTGTACAACTGCTACAGTGGGCACCGAGGCAGTTCGAGTTAAAAAAAAGAAAAAAGTACAGCACCTTTAAAAGCTAACAACTTGTAAAGAGATACAAAACTGGAAACAAGGCTCAAACAAGGGAATGTATTGCTTGAGCCAGGTGGCAATAAGTGCAGCGCTCCTCAGACAGCATCGACAGGCTGTTCAAAATTTCCAACAAGGAACTTACTTTTTCAACTGAGTCTGGTACAACAGCGCTACCAAGGTTCTTGATTGGTGAACCTTGATAGCAGGCAAAGACTTCAAGGTTTGCAAACACGGTCAATGACGCATTCAAACAAGGTTCACGATAGTCGATATTGTTCAAAAACATGGAGCACTCTTCTTTATGAATCACAGTCCACTTCGGAGACACTGACACCCCTTGCAGGCGAGCCCTTAGTTCTTCGAGGGACGAAAACCGGTCTCGTTCTTGCTCCGCTTCATATGACGCCAGCGACTCTTCTACAGCACGGGCGAGTTGGGAGGCTTCTTGTCGGCTCCTCTTGGCGTCAGGGGTTTCTCTCGTGCTCTGGTCTCGTACTGATAGGTAGGACGGACAGCCGGGAAATACCGTTGAGACAGATCCAGGACGCAACCGTGGTACTGGGAGTGCAACTTCAATAACTCTCCCTGTCCTTGGATCCGTCTACGATGTCGTCTTCTCAATGCATGAAGCGTCGAAATGATCCGCGCACACCTGCACAACGTTTCAAGAACGTCTGAGACGCCACTTCTCAAAAGAAAAAAATGCGCTCCCGTTGCATGACCGTGTTTACAGTCCGTGTAGCTAAAACAAAGTCTACCTACGTTTCGCAAGCATCTAAATAAAAGCGCTGCGCTAAGCGGTACAAGCAACATGAAAGGAAACACGGGAGCGTGATGTCACCGCACTCCACGAAGCGCTTCCACCGAGAGCTTGCAAGAATGGACGACACCACGGCACTGTTAGTGAACAAAGCGCAGCTGACCATCCTTGCTGCGAACGCTGCTGGCGTCAGCGCTTCGCGAGGCCCGGCGGCCACACGCTCAAGTATTTCCCATCATAGGTGATTTCTACCCGAACAAGCAACGACAAGCTAAGAACAGGAGCATCTCAAATTCTTACCTTAGTGCACGAAGTCGGCACGAAGTCCTTCCTAGGAATGGCGCGTAGCCATTGTTTGAGAGCGTCGGCGTCTTTAGGGAAGGAAAACACTTGTATCTTCTTTCCTGTTTTGTAGTTGCCGGTGCATCCGGGTACACAACACTTATTCGGCATTGTCGCATCACTCCAGCATCACGCACGGAAACGAAATTGCCGCAAAACAACAACGGAAAGCAACAAACGTGAAACACCGTCAACACCACGCCGCCGAACCGTCACCACCGCCGCCCGCGCTGCGCTCGCTGCCGCTGCGGCTTCCCCGAGAGTCGGCCGGCCGGAAATGACGTCAGATTGCTGGGCGCAGGCCTGAAAAGATTTTCCGTGGGTGACGTTCGGAGTGAAGTTTTACGCGGCCTGTGATAGGCTGCGCTCATCGTCGTCATTTCCGCCCGCCTAGTTCTAGCGGGCGCCACTGTGCGCCGACGCGGTCGGCAGCAATGAGGTGACTTTATTGCACAATTAAAATACTAAACGATTTGATATCGGTGCTTGGACCTATGCTAAATTATCCCGGGCCATCGGTCTACGCGAAAAATAGGTGCTTCATAAGTGTTGGAAGGCCCCTTCTTTAATACACAGAATGAAGACCACTCTTCGCAGTAATCTGAGTTTCGTAACGTAAACAAAAACCATATTCTATATTTTCCATCTCAAAAAATTGTGCCACAATATATTGGTATGACGACATGCATCTTCATATTTAGGATAATTAACAGTTCTCCAGGTGAACTTATTGACCTTAGGCTTTCCGATCATATTTAGTGCACAAGTTTACACTCCCTAGTATTGCTGCTAAAAAAGAAAGTTGAAATATTTTGACCTCTAGTCTTGCCCTATGGCTAACTCTATTTGTCTGGCATAAAGCGCCACATTTAAATGAGACACTGAGTATGTATATTCACGAGTGCAGTGAAGGTGAAATTACGTTACAAAAGCTTATACAACGTTAGCCTTTCTTACATTCTTAATTGTACCTCTTCACATGAATACACTCAGCAGCGCACACACACACAAAATCATTCCATCGTTTGGATCACCGTCATCAGGGAGTTGTTATATATTCACTGCAGTATGAAAGGCCACTTCTCCAAGCATATCGAACTTATGCTGTCGCGTGCTTGTTGATTTCGTGGTATGTTTGCCAATTTTGTATTTTCGTAACCAGCTTGAATCTTTTGCCGTGTTGCGCTGCGTTGCCTTTCATTGGCATAGCCAAGGTCAACACCGGCGAAAGATCACCAGCGGAACAGTGGGGCGGTAAGCCTCGCATTCAAAGTAAATTTATTGGAGATCAAGTCACCTGATACTAATCTCTCCGGGTTATTTCATCAGAAATAACTACTGTTTTAGTATTAATTTATTTATTTTTAATTTATAACACACACGCGCGTCGCACACAAACACACGCGTATTCTTCCGGCGACGATGGCGCTTCGCGGGAAACATGCCTCCAGCATGCGGAATGCGGCGAGTCTGTCTTCTAGCCACTCGATGACCACCACAGTGCCTAACGGCAGCCGCAATCCCGGCTCTTCTCTCGCCCCACTAGCGCGGGTCTGGGCAACTGTCGCTGATCCGAGTGCAGTCGTCCCGTCAGCCCAAGACACACAGCCGCAGTGCGAGGCTGCACTTCCACCTATTCGGGGAGCACTTGGCGTCGTGGTCGTAATTGGGGCACGGAGCCTCGACGTGTCGCATTTCAGGTCCGCATAAAAGCGACAATGGTGTCGTCTTTAAAAGAGCAGGGCCCAGTCCCTCCCGCAGAACGGCGAAGCGCGCCTTCGTGCTTTTCTTCTCGCTGCGAAGTCCACAAGGCAGCCTCCTCT